CCCCGGGCACAAGCTGATTCAACTGGGACAAGCGCTGGAGATCGAGCGGAATATCGTTTACTGTGAGCGAGCTCAGCGAAATGACCGACAGTGAACATGAGTTCAAAATAAACTGAATATTTTAAAAGCAAACTACCCCGTGGGAAAAGCAGAGCGCAAAGAGGGATGCCTCTTATGCAAACGGACAGATAAGCGAAATGAAGGGGGCAGGGGGGAAAACAAGCAGCGATTTTGTTTTGAGAGACTTACTTGAGTGCTGACATCGAGGTGACAATTTTTCGAGTCCACGAGAAGCGGTTTGGAATTGTAAACAAGCGTATAAAATGGCGGCCTTGCAAAGAAAGTTTAAAGTGAAACCAGCGGGTAGTCAGAGCCCAAAACCGGAAGAGGGAGCAGACGTCATGAAAATGTTAGCGGATATGCTCAAGCCGGTGATGGAGCAACTTGATGGTATTAACCAGCAACTGACCTCACTGAATCAAAACTTCGCATCCCAGCAGCTACAACTGGCAGAAACGCGAAGAAGGTGGCGCGTATGACTGAAAGAATTAAAGAGATAGACACCACAAACAAGAAAATGAAGAAAAGAATGGGGGAAGTTGAAGCAAAACAAAACTTCCAAGAAAACCATTTGTTACAGCTACAAATGGAAAAAGCCAACATGATTCTCAGATTCCAGGGAGTTCCTGAATCGCAAACGGAGGATCTGAGGAAGTTGCTCAGCGAGATCATTGCTCCAGCAATAGGCTCAACAGCGGATGAAATGGTAAAAGAGATGGAGACTGCTTATAGGGCATACTCCAATTATATATAAAAAAAATAGCCTGCCTGGAGAAATTGTGGTCAGATTCTCAAGAAGACAGACCAGAGATGCTATTTTAAAAGCGACTTCAGCAACTCCACTGAAAATGGGGAATATAAACATTAAAACTTTAAAAGACATTCCATTTGAAATTCACCCAAAGAGGAAAAGCTATAAGGACTTAATTTCTTTTCTTCAAACCAATGGAATTTCGTACAGGTGGGCGATCCCAGAGGGTGTCATCTTTAAAATCAACGACAAAAGAGAAAAGATTGACTCCATTTTTAAAGCCAAAGAATTTTTGAGACGCCAGTTGGGATTGGAGGAAGAATCCAAAGATGAAGAATCGAAATCAAGTGACTCTGCTACCTCTGGAACGGAAGAGGACTCTGCTGTAGAAACGGGTGCAGGCGCAACGAAAGTTACATATGATTTCAGAGACAGAAAACCGAAGTAAAGGCAGAAGGACTCTGAAAATTGCCTTTTGAAGCAACTAACAAGAAGATGCTCAGAAAGTTCTCTCACAACAACTAACTTACTAACATTAAAGCCGAGACAAACAAGAACTCTACAAGTATATTCGTTGTACTAACACTTTTATTAATAACATTTAGACTAACACGGATATGATCTCCTCCTCTTGGGTTTTTAGTGTAGTGTGGTTATCTATCCTATATCCTTAGATGTTATCCCCCTTCCTCATATTTTCTTTGTAGTTTTGTAGCCTTATAAAAAAATAAAAACAAATATCCCTCCGGGGATTTAAAAAAAAAAAAAAAAGAAGTCTCGGATGCAGTTTCATGACTACTAGGATTTTATTCCAGCATAATTGATCTCTAGTCCACAAAATCTCATGCTGGAATAAAACCTTGCCTCTGTAGACTCCTGTTTATTTTGACACTGTAATTGACAAAGTGGGCTCAGCTACTTGAAGTTTACACTGGAACAAAACTTTGCTAGCCACATACATACATAACATAGACCTTTATTGGCATAACACAGTAACAACAGGGGAAATAATAGAACGAATTAATAGATCAAAACAAGTTACACCAGCAAGAGGTCATTTTTAAACTTCTCAGTAATAATAAACTCAGTTAGTAATATAGCAATCCCAATGACACAAAGAAGATTAAGACTTGTACACCCTTACCCTTAACTTCCAAACATAGGCTAAGAATTTGGCAACAGACAAGGTAGTTGCCGGGTACTTATCAGATAATAAAATGTTAAGATCATTATCAATAGAATTCCTTGTGGAAGGTAAGTGGGGGCTAATCAAATAGCTGTGCATGTTAGAATAATGGGGACAGTGAAGCAGGATGTGAGCAACTGAATCCGGCTCACTATAGGGGATACCCCTATATCTACCTGATACAACAGCTGAAGGGAAAAGATTATTTCCCCCAGGGGATGCAGCGTTGTGGATTATGCTAGCCTTTAACATGCTACCGGAGACCAGTGTTCCCTCTAAGCTGAGTTAATGTGAGCTAGCTCACCATTTTTTAGCCTCCGGCTCACACATTTTTGTCTTCGCTCAGGAAGGAGGGCTCCAGAGGAACTAATTTATGCAGCAGCCAAATCACTTGCTCACGACTTTAATGCCAGGTGCTCACAAAGTAGAATTTTTGCTCACAAGACTCCACAGCTTAGAGGGAACATTGCCGGAGACTCCAGTGTATTTTTGCATGCTGAGCTGAGCTGTTGTGTTCTGAAATTACTAACTACAAGCTCAGTCACAGGACCCCGATCTGAAACTGCAGATCTAAAACAAAAGACATCAGAAAAAAACTATGAACAGTGCAGTGCAGTGGTTAGAATATCAGGCTGGCATCTGGTAGAGCCAGGTTCAAATCCCCACGCGTGCCACGGAAGCTCACTGAGTGACCTTGGGCCTGTCCCACACTCTCAGCCTAACCTACCACACAGGGTTGTTGTGAGGATAAAATGGAGAAGAAGGGAGCGGTGGTGCAGGCGGTAAAACGCCTGCAGTAACAACAATGAACAGCCACTATGGCTGTTCGAGACCCACCGCGGCCGGGGTGAGTTCCCGGCCCTAGTCCTAGCTCCTGCCCACCCAGCGGTTCGAAAGCAGTAAAAATATAGCAAGTAGATAAATGGGTACCTGCCCTTAGGTGGCAGGGGGCACCCTCCTCCGTGTGAGGTGTGTGGCAGGAGCAATCGGCGGCGGCGGCGGCAACAGTGGAGTGGTTGGAACAGCTAAAGCAACAAAGCGTCGGCGAGGTTGGCAAGGCGATCCCTGGTGGCCAGTGAGCGGAACATCGAGTGGCGAGATCTAACAGCAACGGAGGCGGAGCCATGGAGGCATGCGGTGACGTGGAGGCGCAGGCACGGCGGAGCCGGAAATAGACGATGGCCAGGCTGTGGCTGACACGGGCCGCGTGCCGAAGAGACCGCCAAAGCTGGAGGACCTGCCCCTGGACACCGGAGACGGGACGCCGACCCCGAAGACCGCCTGGAGGAAGAATGCCGGAGCCGGAGAACAACAGCCCTGCCACCTGGGTAGCCCCACCCCTGTATACTATGTGGCCTTAGTTAGGGAAAAATGTATTTGAAACTACCTGTAAACCGCTCAGAGACCCTTCGGGGTCAGAGCGGTAAATAAATCGTATGTATGTATAAATAAATAAATAAAGAAAGAAAGAACAATGTAAGCCACTCTGGGTCCCTATTGGGAAGAAGAGTGGGGTTGAAATGAAGTAACATGAAGGTGAAACTGACCTCCGTGGATCTGTCACCCACAACATGTGTTATGCCAGCAAACGTGCCTCACATGACCCTCACATGAAGCTGCCTTACACTGAATCAGACCACTGGTCTACTCAGACTGACAGTGGCTCTCTGGGCAGCGGTCTTTCCCATCACCTGCTTCCTTATCAGATTGAGGTGACAAGTATGCAGGGGATTGAACCCGGGACCTTCTGCATGCCAAGCAGATGCTCTGCCACTGAGCCACGGCCCCTCCTCATGGCCCCAACGCCTCTTCTCCGCACCCCAAGGGATGCCAGCCTCCAGGTGGGACCTGGGGATCCCCCGGAATCACAGCTCATCTCCAGGCCGGAGAAACCAGTCCCCCTGAAGAAAACGGGCGCTTTGGAGGGTGGCATTCACTGTTCCCTCTAAGCTGAGTTAGTGTGAGCCTAGCTCACAGTTTTTTAGCCTCCGGCTCACAGATTTTTGTCTCCGCTCAGGAAGGGATGGCTCCAGCGCAAGCTAATTTATGCAGTAGCCACATTGCTAACTCAGAACTTCAATACCGGTAGCTCACAAAGTAGAATTGTTGCTCACAAGACTCCACAGCTTAGAGGGGACATTGGACTGGCATTTATACCCCACCGAGGTCCCTGTCCTCCCCCAGGCGCCCCCCTCCCCCAAATCTCCAGGAGTCTCCCAGCCTGGGTCTGGCACCCCTACACGCCCCCCCCTTTTCCCGTCGGTTGCCTGGAAACCCCCCCCCCCCCCCGCC